GTCAGTCCAGTGCCCTAAGATAACCAACTTAGCTATGGAGCAATACATCACCGTGAATGTAAACCTACATGTCGCAATTAGGAAAAACTTGGGGTTAATTACATCACCTTGTTATTACTACAGAGAGGGCTAATAATTATTAAAGAAGTACTCTCCCATAACAGATTAAGCTATCACTCATTTTCCTTCCACAATTTAACCAACAAAAGCAGAGTTCTGTTACAGAATGTTATCCACACCACAGTCCATATTTTCACCTCCCCCAAAAAAGTCTACAAAAGACTGGACTTCAAAAGAAAGTCGCATTTTAAATTGTTATCCATCATTTAATAATAATCATGCCAATAATGAAAAACACATGAATATATAAATAGGACGAGTGTCAGCTATTGTTCTGCGTTTCCTCCACAGCCCTGCTCAGCTGCACCTGTGGCTGAGGGTGGGGAGAGTTTGCAGGAGGGGGCAGGATCGCACGAGAAAACAATGGCGAGGCCGCAACATGGAGACAGAGCGAGACAGTGAGTCTGCACAAGGCGCTGGCCATCCAGCCTGCGGGGAATCTCAAGCGGCAGAACAGGAAGAGGTCTCTCTGGGCCACGGTGTGCAGTCAACCAGCGAGAACAATGGAGGGGGCTCTCCTCTGCGTGTGCTGCACCCGGCCACACTGCTGGTGACCGAACACACCCAGCCATACGGACAGCCTGTCTCTGCAGATAGGAAGGGGCACTATCATCACGGGAGCTGAGGCTAGGACAGGCCAGCGCAGGGCTCAGCTCTACTGCCAGCAGCTCTGTTCAGAGGGAACACAGATGGCGCTAAGTGATTAATGGGTGGCATTACAAAGTGGTAGATCACTCATGGCTTGGTCATGTAGTGGACAGCTATATCCATTCACTGGATGGAAAAGATGCCTTCCTTTTGGAGTATTCTGTGTATCTGCATATGGATGACTCAACTTGTGGCCTACTGGGTGTCTACGTAACACTGACGTGTCTGAAACCATGCACTTAGAAGCAACTGTGTCAACTGCATTGTTGCTTCCCACAGTAGGGCAGAGGTCAGCTTATCACAAGACCACATCACAGGTCACGCTGGTTACGGTGTGGGATAAGTCCAGAAGAAACCTTCATCAATGTTTCTTTAAAAAAAAAAAAAAAAACAATGTTCAAAACTGATTCAACATCATCAGAGGCTCTCTAGTAAATGTAAATGTATTCACCCCTCAATAGTATGCATGAATATGTAAAAATAATTTGCTATATGTTCAGAATTATCTGACTGTTCCCTGACTGATTTATTCACTTTTCAGCAAAATATCCCTGCATTCCAGAATGGCATCTTTCAAGAAAACACATAACTCACACAAGCACGAGCAAAAACAATGATGTCTTTGTCTCTCTCATGAATTACTGCCAATTTTGTCCACTATCACAATATATGGCCTTGAGTTATGAAAGCATGCAGCAATTGCTGCTTTCAACATTGGCAAATAGGGACAGTGAGTGATGTAGTAGGACATGACATTACAGTTAAGTTCGTTATATACAGCACTGTGCAAAAGTCCTTGCCGGAAAAAAAACAGATCTTTCAATGAGTTCCTGTTAGTATAAAACTTATACCTTATGCCTGTCAAAGTGAATTAGCCATTTCAAAACTACTACTAAGATCACTCTGATATTTGCAGCAACCATCCAATACAGCCATGCATTTCTTTTATGTGACCGTTAGCACACCTCGTATAGCTAACTAATATTTCATTAACGTTTTTTTTTTTTTACTAATCAAGATACAGAATGGCTGAGGTGGCACGGCGTAGAACTGTTGATCTAGGCATCCAACTAGATTAATAACTTTTTGTTGCTCTTAATTTGTGTATGGTCGAATGCTAAGTTGTGTTTTTTGTTCTGAGAAACAGTGCGCTTACAACCCAGATAAATAGCTTTAAACGTGTCTTTTGGCTGCCTAAGACTTTTGCGCTGTTCTGTATGTAAATGGTAAAGCCCTGAACAAGAAGAGTTCTTTTAAGTTTTGTAAGCTAACACATGAAATAGTAATTTTGAAGCTGTCTGTTTTCGTTGTTTGCTTGCGCATATTAATCCCCTTCTTTTTGTGGGAAAAAGTCCTTTAAGGTTAGAAATAATTCCCCATATTACTCCATTTATTAAAAACCCACATTTGATCTATTTTCAAAATATCTAACTCGTAAACTATGAGGCAATCATGTCTCATTTGAGTTGTCTGGGTGTTGATGCTAACAAATGAGGCAAATTAAAGTTCTTTGGAAGACGACATTTAACAAGGAATTCTAGGAACTGGGTGCTGGTCTTAAGAAACACAACGGTTTCCATTCTGATGTAGATAATATAATTTCGAGGTGTATACATTGCAGTGTTACTTGCTCTGTTTGCATGTGCCGTTCTATTAAATTTGTACTGCTTTGAATTTCTCAAACCATGCTGAAGCCTGTTCTTCATACTGTATTTAGAATCTGTCCTGTAACCTTCAGGATTTTAGGATGTAGTAAGGTGTCATCAGAATAAAAATATGATCACAGAGAAGTCCTACATTATGAAGGTACTAAAGCCTGCACCCACTACTTAACAAAGAACCGCGCAGCTAAAGTTTGCTCTCCATATAAAGGCACTTCCTGTTCGGAGGCCACTGTCTGCATTTTTCTGTGCTTCAACCCGGCTTCCTGTCACCCTGGAAATGGGCTAAACACACAGGCTGGGGAGACCCGTCTGCCATACTGTCTGTGGACATCAAAGTGCCCACCGCTGGAACTGAAGGACAGGAAAAGGGTGGGAATAGCGCAGGCAGTAACATCAGACTCCACAAATGACAGTTAGGACAATTGCCACTTTAAACATTTACCTCCTGTTTCTGGACAGCCATAAATACCAAAGACTGTCAAACAAACCAGGAAGTAAAAATTCAAAATCATTAATAACTGCATTTCTTTTGTAATGGTTTATTATTTCATGTTATAAAAGAAGGTATTAAATATATCAAAAATCCACCCTTGCTGGTTCTGGCTGAAGACAAGAGCAAACAGTTATTTGGAATAATGTTTAAGCCAATGTGTGAGTATGTGAAAATATGTGTTACACGAGAGTATCCTGTTCCACACACACCTCCAAGTACGTGTAAGTGGCTTCACCCACCCATCAATCCATTGTCTATGATCGCATGTCTTATGTACTCACCCTGTGCATTTCAGAGAGGGGGGGGGTGAGTCCTCTCACTAAATTTAGTGAGATCATGGGTGATCAGTAAGTTTCCTTAACTTGGGACCCCATCAGTCAATTTTTCATGATTGAAAAGGGGCAGTTAAACCCTCAAAGGGGAGGGGGGGGGGGCATTTTCAATCATTTGGCCTAAAGGAGCAGGTGCTTGGGCACCCCAGCCCCCTCTCACATGCATGTGCCTACACACACCTGATTAAAAAATGCCTCAGGGCTGGGTTTCATTTGGAAGGACAGAACAGGGGTCAGGTGACACCTCACTGTTCTCCTCCCTCAGAACCGGTTTGGGCCAGTGGTTGGAATGTCAGCGTGATGAGATTAATAGACACCCAGTTGCCTGCATCTTAGCTATTGAAGCTTGAGGGAAAGGCTGACGTAAATCACTGGCCCTGCGACTAACATTTACATTTCAATATACACTTTGAATTTTTATACATCTCCCAAAAAATGCCGTTTCTGGTGGGGATAGTAGGCCTTTAAGCCCAGAAATATCAGGGGACTCAAACAGCTTTAATTTTCCAAATTCCCAAAAAAATTGTAAAAAGAATTCAACTAATATAAAGCAATATAGTTTGATTCTATGATGTCAAAAGTTGTTCTGCTGTTATTCAGGGACTGATGTTAAATGAATTGTACGTAACACTCATTGACGGTTCCCACATGCAGATTCAAAGGATGAAGAAAAAAAAAGAGAGGACACTGAACTTCTCCCTGCCTCAGCAATGTTCAAATAACAGGCCGCTTATCTGCGGGGTGGGGGCAGATGTAGCACACCTTACACAAATACAGCCCCCGCAGGCAGTTTCATTCTCCAAACTGGTTTGTGCTGGTCAGATAAGCCACAAAACAAGGAACTCAATGGATATGAATGACCTTAGGCAGCCTGTAACAGTACCTCTCCAAATGGCCTCATCTGACACAGGGAATGAACTGAGGCAGTTTCTCTCACTGAATTATTTGCGGTCATTTAGACAAGATAGTGTATGTCCACGACATTTGCTCCTCTTGTTTTTCTTATTAGTCTCTCAATATGTGTTCTTTAATACTAATTGAAAATTTGAATGTGGAAATTGTATGTAGGTAAACAATGACGAACAAAATGTTTTGTAATTCATTTGTTTAATTTCAGATGCAAATGTTTATTTAAACTGGATTTAATATAATTTAAGATGCAAATGTTCATTTAAGCTGCATTTAATATGATTTTAATATGTGATTATATTTAATGTATAACAGCAAATATAATCGTCAGCTTCCTAAATTCAAGTAAATAAATTGAGACGCTTGGGATGTCTGCGGTTTATCAGAGTATATAATACTATCCCCGGCTCAGCCGACAATCAGCAGCTATAGCTTTACTACCCTCATGAGGTGTTCCGTTTACAGGAAGGTCAGAAAGTCAGTGGCTATTGGTGAAATGCAAAACACAAATTTCCATAAAAAAGAGCGGGCAGATTTTGTATAAAGGAATGCTTTGGCGTCAGTTGCATTTAATGTATTCATGCCTGTGGCACGAGCCAGATTTCAAAACATATATATGTGGATATATGTGGCGTAGAATATGCCTTACTGATGAACTGGTATTTTTTCAGATCGGTATAAATACCTGTATTACCAAAAAAGCTAATTAACTAATAAATGTCCCATCCCTCTTTTTTTATAATACTTATAGGCTACATATCTACCGTTAACACCTTTAAGATAAGACCGTCAACAAGGAACAACTTATAGTCAATGAAAAGAATAAAGCGAGTGTTAAGTATAATAATTTATTATCGAAACTGCAAGGTATATGAAACATGTTTTTATTTAATCAAAAATAAATTAGTGATCAATAGCGAACAGTGTTAGAGTATCTATAGCTATGCTAGTTAACAGATACAAAAAGGGCTTTGGCATTGTTCTCATAAAACTGAGGCGTATATCAAGCAATGTCGTCGGCACGAGATAATAGGCAATTTTTGTGTCACCTCTGAGGTGAATTTTACTTCTTGCATTATAACAAATGCATAGGGAACAGCGATCAGGAGTCGTCCGGGGGCTGCATGTTCTGTCCAGGCCATCGATCTCCATCTGTCCGATTGGGATCGCTCATCTGGTCCGGCGCCGCTGACAGGTGCAGCGGTAGCGCCATATGCATGTAACAGTCTGCATCTCGCTTGCTGTCAGCTGGAGGCATCACCTCCGCCTTTGCTGACGCCATTCACTTTCTCCGCCGTCGGCCCCGACTCATCCCTATAGTTCTCTTCAAATCATCTGAGTTTCCCGGAGTTCATACAAGATTCAGCGCAGTTTCAGAAACTGCCTGATTACGCCTGCGATCTGCAGGAACTTGTCCTTCTTCCTCTGCTTTAGTGCCATGAGAGCTTTGGCCGTCTCCTCTGGGTCGTAGGCATAGGAGTAGATGCTCCTCACCCTCTCCTCTGCCTTCATGTCCCCCGTTTTCTGGAAGAGCCTCATCAGCGCATCTTGATGGACGTTCTCGAAGATGTTCGCTGACGCCTTCTTGCGGTTGGCTGTGTCGAATCGGTTCCCGTAAACCGAAGGGCTCACACGGTGGGAGTCGGAAGACAAGTAGGTCGACATGTCTGTCTTTTTAATTTTCCGAGACGCTGAAGCTGTCGATTGCTTCACAAGGTCTTTGGAATAGGTGAATTCTGTGTCGCTCGGTCATGAGTACGAGATCATGGGCTCCGATCGTCCTATATAAAGGGTTCCCGGGATTACTCCAGCCTCCAGACTTATTTACAGAAATGACATCACTAGTGTTTTACACCCCCACCGGGAACGCCCCGCTTGGAAAGCACACGTCGGATGGTAGAAGGTTGCAAAAGAAGTGAAAGCGCACTATTTTAATGCACGATTCCGTTGGTAAGCTTGATGTCATGCTTGTTGTAACATATTTATTGTGGTGAAACAAAGAACGTTTATACCTCATTTGAAATGGTTGCGTGGATTCATTAGCTTTATTTTAATTGTTCCTCAAAATGGCATATTCGGCTTTTAAGGACAACTGAATTGGTACCCTAAAATAGTCAGTGCTTAATTTGCAGCAGTTTGGCAATGAGTGCTTCATTTACACGTTATTAAATTACCGAAATATGAAAACCGAATCATACACTTACTTTTAGAAAAACAGACCAATGAATTAAGTGCTATTTCTTCCTGTTTGTCCTATAAACCCCTGCACGGGTGATAACCAACATACAGCACAACATTTTGTTTTTTCCTCTCGTAGTCAATGTTAAATGTCCACCGATTATTAGAAAAAGGCATCCTCTATGAATCATTTGTTAAACTTCCAGAGAAAAGTATCTAAAATGCCACCAGACCCACAGCTTCATTGGCTATTAAGTTTCCACCTTGTCTAGAATGAAACTCAAATATCGTTACAACTAGTTTACTTCTGTTAAGTACCAATCTTATGTTATAAATGCTATGTTATTCATTTACAGAGAAGCCAGATGTCATGCCTTTCTTCTTTCAGCAAGTGTGGGTGATTTAGAGACGCCTTTTCACCTAACTGCAGAGGCAACTGTCCTACCTGCAGAAGATCTGTGCAACACGGGATGAACATGCATGAACACAGACCAAGGGCAGGACCCTAACTCCCAAACGTGGAGGTGTGAGGTTGCTGAGCTGTCCTCACCATCTCCTCGACCCCACTGGCTAGCCTCATCCCATTCCCATTTTCATACCACGGGGCAAATATCAAGGTAGTACTCAAACATGATCAAATCTGTGATAGACATAGAGCTCAGGTTTGTTGTGATATTGCCATGAGATCTGGGTCAAAATGGCATTACTAGCAAAATCATACAGGTTAGGAATCACACAAAAGGACATACACTCTAGCAAGGTCTTACTACATAAACCATAAGCAGTATTGCAGAAAATATGGCCATTTTCTTCATTTTTGGCAAAATTTATATAATCAACATTATGTTTAAGTTTTATGGTGGGTGAGGTTAATTTAAAAATAATCACCCTGCAATTTTAAGAATCATAATTCACAGATCCTTTCTTTTTTGAACTCCGATCAGCATGCATCTGTGTTATGAGAATGACACAATGCTCAGAAAACAATCTATAAATAGACTGTGTTTTTAAGCTGGAAATCTGTGGGAGAACACAAGGGGGTTTTCTGTCCTGTGCAGTGGGAAACCCTCTTGAGAAAAGGTGTTTTTTTTTCTCTCCTACAGGGTATTTCCAAACCAGAGTTTTCATTTATAATCCTTCCAAGTGGAGTCAGTTCTCACTGTCTCTGGAGAATGGTTACAATCAAATAAGTACGAGGTGCCGTTTCCGGCAAAAGTAGACTTCGTTAGTAATGATGAATAATATTTCACAAGAAGAAGAAGAAAAAGCTGTGCCAGGGATCACGATTATTCTTGCAAAAGCAGGGTGGCTGATCCTGTAAATATTTCTCCAACTGGATAAACAATTCCCAAAAATAGTCCTGTGAGTCGATATGGTCTCATTCCAGGCCCGAAAATAAGTTTGCATCCTGGCAAGTAAGGAAGAGGAATGGCCTGTCTCCTAACCCTGATATCTGTAATGATAAGCAAGAAGGTTAAGCTCACTGGCTACAGCTTCGGAAAGGAATATTTAAAAAGGCAGGCCTAAACATTCAAAGCCTGCGAACAAACTTTCCCAGCTTGTGTTTTCAACATTTCCAAGTGCCCCGCAACTGGGTGTTAGATTAACAGAAAAATTACTATATGCCAGCTTTTGACTTTAAAAATATCATGTTGTCCTTGTTGATATGAAATGCTTATTTGTAACTGTTTCAATTTGGCATATTGCTGTTATATGTCATTTCCTTGCTGGCAACTGTTAATACCAGATATATAGCAACCAGAAGCGATTCTGGGGGCCCTCCAACTCACCCTCCCCAGCATGGTAAAATGTATTATCTTTATTTTACTATGAAGTATAAATTAATAAAATCAACAAAGATAATTTAATAAACACAAGACCATTATTTTCACTTTTGTGAGAAACAGAATAGACAAATAGAGCAGATTTGTCGTTGCAATGTGCTATGCAATCGGACGCCCTCGGGGGCCCCCCTCCCAGCTCGGGGCCCGAGGCCATTGCCTGCCCTGGCCGTCCTGTCACTGCGCCTCTGATAGCGACAGTACTGAAGTGGCTAGCACGGGCTTTAGCCAGGCTCAATTCTTTCTGTATCATAATAGCCCATTCACTTTCCATTCCATTTGAATTTATCTTACTTAAAAACTGCACATTCTCAGACAGACACAAATGTGCCCAGAGACCATAAAGAAAACTAAGGGTCAGGACCGTAGCACATTCTTCACATATTTATCATATCAGTAGCCCAGACTTTGGTTAGGCAGACGGCCCCCAAACAACAGGATCTTACTGCAGGCAACAGGAAGTGGTGACCACAGCTGTCGACCTGGTCCTGCTAGGCCAGCCAGTGCACATCTACAGCCTTAACAAAGAATAGCTAAATAAAGAAGCAGTTGGGGGTTCTGTCATAACTCCCCCCAGAATCGAGCCGTAAGAGACAGGCAGTGGTCTCTCACACGAGTAAACAGTTGCATATAACATTATTCCACTTAAGAGTACATTTCATTTTATACTGCAACTTAGACTACGTGCATTGACTGAACTGAACTACTTACAACCGAAAAAATGATGGGAAGTTAAAACATTTAAATATCAATGAACAGTATTTTTCTATATGTATATGCGGGGGGTGGGGGGGTGGATGAAAAAAGCACTTTCGAAGTGCAATTTCAAACTCAGCTGCAGCGGTGAGTCATTTTAGCTTTCATGGTAATTAGCAGTATTGTTTGACAAATCGCTCTGAAATATGAGCTGGAATGGGCATTATTTTCAAAATAGAATGAGGCAGTTCAAAAGAGGAGAAACTGCCAAATTACAGATGTGTTGGTCACGAATCTAATAAAATATTTAATGTGCCAAGGAGAATAGTTTCAGCATCATGACAGCATAAGTCAAAGGGATAGACTGACCTTTGACAAGATGACTGTTAAACTCCAAGGAATTATGAGGAACACCTTGTAGCCCTACAGTGATTAACTTGAAAATAAACTTTTTTGATGATTAAAAACAAGATTGATAGTTTTGGACCACATTGACTGGGTTAATGTTTCTCATACCACTATGAATTTTCAGTATCGCCCCATGATAAGTGGGATTTATTGGCACAGAAATGTAGCAGCAAAATTTAAATGGACAAACATTCTACTAATAGATCCTATCCTTAGGCTGAAAAGTCAATCATACTCACAGCCAGTTGAGCACATGGGACTATGGGGGTTAATTAAGATTTTAAAATCAGTATGAGAAATGTGATAGATGCAAGTGCGCTACATAGTTTCTACAATTTAATTAATTAATTTCTCCCTGTTGGGACACATTTTTAACGTCCAGAGGTTAAGTTATTAACTATGTCAGATTTTGCTTTGTTTAAAATTTCTTCGAATTCAACTAAAATAATGAAGACATGACCTAAAGACATATCACCTCTGCCGGTCATTTTATTATGTATACCTGCTTTTAAAACACAAAGGCAGGATCAGGAGATTCAGTTATTGTTCACTAAAGCTGTGCAATGGGTACTATGACCTATGCAGTCCTGAATGGGTTGTGATTGTTTGTGCCAGACATGGAGGTTCCAGCATCTAGGAAATAGCTGCCTTCTGGGGATCTCCATACACTGGAGTTGACAGTAAATGGTGCGATAAATGAAACCATCCAGTCAGCATCAGTTTTGCTGCCAAGATCAGCTTGTGGTCAGAGGTAAATAGCCACACTTGCTAAAGCTAACAGAACAGGCTACATTTGCCATACGCAGGGAATATTCCAGCACAATGTTAAATCCATGCTTCAAATAGTCCAGGATATTCTATAGGCAATGGAGCATTACTACTACTGAAGTGGCCAATGAGTGTCGTTAAGTGACCCTTGTATGAAATTTAATTATGAGTATTCATTAGCTGAAAAAAAAAGTTGTTTTTTTGACAGTGATTTAAAAATATCTTCAAAGTAAAATAGACAGACAGTTAAATTTCTTTGGGCATGATTCATGTTTCACAGAAGTTATGTATATCTATTACATTCCCAAAACTACACATGAAAATCGCTAAGAAATTATTTGACGTCTTATAATTAAAGAGAAATGAACACACCTGACTTTAAATCCAAATATACAGTACTTACTTAATTAGCTCGATTTTTTTGACATTTCACTTTCAGCTATAAGCGGATATTTCAGTGGGTTAAGTGGATATTTAAGTGGGTTAAGTGGATATTTAAGTGCATATTTCAGTGCTATTTCTGCAGGAAACACATTGGTGCTAAGAGTACAAATAATTAACTATCATTTAGTATCATAAAAAATCAGAAGCAGCACAGGATAAAGCCCAGCACAGGCTGAGTCTGACATCACTGGAACATAATGTGGGCACAGTTTTGTTAGCATTCTCTCTGGGTCGGAAGGAATCTCAGGAAAGATGGTATCCGTGTGCGGATCATACACAAATACTGCCCATGGCATTGCCCTGGAGAGACCGGGCCCAGGCTGCTGGCTGGACTCTGTGTGGATTGTATCTCCTTGGATGGCAGGTCTATTCCTGGGAGATTAGCGTGTTCAAACAGCACTGACAGGAGCTGTGGGAAGGATCCCTGAGGCCACCATGTCCTGGCTGACAGTGCAGGCAGCCTAGAGGAGTTTCG